TTATCCCTTAAAAATTCCAACCTTCCCTGTCTGTTTCTAGAGTAACTTTCATGCTTGGTTGATCTTGTTTTGGTTCTGGCATCTCCTTGTTCCAAAGCAGGTTACCATATTTACCAGGCAAGAAAGAACTCAGTTCTGATTTCCTCTTCCAAGGGGCCCACGGCTCGCTGTTGTTGCAGGTGTGACTTCCCATGACTCTGTGGGCCACCTGGTGCGTCCCTCCATGTGGTGACCTCAGGGAGGAGCAAGGGCAGGGAGATTCTGTGTGTGTGTGTGTGTGTGTGTGTGTGTGTGATATTGGTGCTGCTGCTGGAAGATTGGGGTTATTTTTAATTCGTTGCTTTTTTGAACTGGTTAGGACTTGGAATTCAAAGAAATCAAGTCAGGTGGGAAAGGGTTAAGTAAGCCCTGCGGGGTCCTGCTGTGGACTGTGCTGGAGGAAGTGTGTTCTGACGAAAAGACACCCAGAGTAGGGAGAGGTGGGAGAGGATGTATGCCAGGCTGCTGGAGGCCCAGGCATGGTCTGTGCAAGTGGAGAAGTAGGAGGCAATTCTGAGTCCTCCTGGGAGCAGACTGTCATCAGGGGGCTGCAGAGATCCGAGGTGCAGAGAGCTCCACAAGGCAGGGGACCCCCTTGTTGGCCTAGTGCATACCTTGTTTATTTATTAATTTGGCGACTTTTTCTAAAGTGCTCACTAGCAGGTCTAACTTCACTCCAGGTACTAGGGTTATGATGGGAAAAATGAAGGACATCGTTACCTTCGTACTTAAGGAGACAGAAAAATAGGACCCTTAGGTAGGGTCAGAGTAGGGACATGGGCCCTTTAAAAATGAGGAGAAAGCCACCTTCAGAAATGCTCTGAGACAGTGAACAGCAGGCAGTCTGTGGTTTCCCTTCTGATGCTGTGCAGGTGAGACTGTGTACCCTGGTTCCTCCTTGTGCAGGTTGCCATGATTACCCAAATTTTCTTATTAGCCCACAGAAACCAAATCCCTAGCAACAAGCCAACCACTCAATCAGGTCCAGTCACCCTCAGAGGGAGGGGTACCTGGGCCCCAACCCTATAGAACAGGACCACTGCCCCATATTCAGTGGGTACCCAGCTCTGGGACTCACTCCCCCACCCCCAGTGTGGCTTTGACCACTTCCTTTTGCAAATAAACTTACTTTCACTTTGCATCATCTTCTGACTCTTCTTCCTCCTTTATGTTGGAGAGAGAGAAAGCCCAGGAAAGTTTGAGGGTGGGCTGGTGACCTCAGACCCCAAGCTGCA